ACTAGAAGCTATGGATATACAGCTGCGAGTCGGTTGCACTCAAATTGACACAGTTAGATCCGAAAATAGCGCGGCTTAGACTAATTATGCTCTTTTATTGCGAAAACGCAATTGTTCGCTGCATACTGTGTTGTACCGTATATATCACAGATATCCAAGCTATACATCCATAATTCGCGAAAATCTCACTTTTTGCGACTGTGGCCTATTGTATTTCAACGAACAATGGTATGGCAGTATTGATCCTCTATCGATTTGCTTCCTTAAACGATAAAAGTTAATTCTCTGAAAAAAAGAAGATAACCGTATTCGTAATTACACTTTTTACAGGATGGACATTCTATAATATCTGACTAGTCACGATTAATACAATCTCCTATATAAATGAGCTAGGGCCGAAAACATGATGGAATTCTGATAAACAAGAAAAAGGCATGGTATTTACGAAAAAGTGATTACTATTCCTCGAGTGCGTGCCTTTCATTATAAGATCAATGCTCACCTAATATGGACTAGCTGTAAAACACATGCAGTCCTTGTCGCTGGAAAGTTTATGAAGAGTTGCCAACAAGTCATACACTACAAATGATCCCTTTAGTTTCACGATAACCACCAAATATTAGCACTCATTTCCCAGGTGCATGAGGACATGAAGCTCAAAACAGAAAAAGGCGGGGTGCCAGTCTACTGGATGTTAGTGTGTGCAAGAATCCTTAAATTTTCTATTAATGCAAGTTTGGTTTAGTGTCAAAGACTGTCAGGTTCTCACAGAAACAAGGCACTTGCCTGGCTGTACAGCTTCCTCCAAACTAAAGAAGCCACATCAACCTTACGCTATACATGGACACAACACTTTCGTGGCACGATAAGGCCTGGGTTGCATCCCAGCTGTGCTCCAGAACCGATCGGAAAGATCCGGTGCTATGGAGACACCCCGGTGGCTCTCGTGGCATGCGTGTTGTTGGACAAGACTCGAAATAGCGAGTTGGCCGAAAGCCTTAACAACTAATTCATTCGACATTTTATCTTATAGTCCCCAGACTCCTACCGTACTACGCTTCACCGCTTCCCCAGTCGTACAACAAGCCGGGGTCCCCATAAAGATTTGCTGGAACCAACAACGATTGGAGTTTAAGTATAGTGATGTTTCAAACACGATTCGTATAGTTCCTAGCTACCTTGAGGGGGGGGGAGGATGAGCGTACATACTTTTACCAGCAGTCGATCATGCAATTCGACTTCAATTTGAGACTCAGTATACAGAGAACAGAATCAAGAAGCATTCGAGTAGTTCATCGTACATTGAGAGAGTAAATAAGCATAATATATTATGATGTGTAGACTTACGAGGCAGCTCCGTCGAATACCCGCTCATAGTTAGTGCGCATGCTCGTCTGATTTTGTGCGACGTCAAAGTTTCTATTACTTACGGTAACGTGATACTTATA